GGTGATATATATGGATCTAGTTTCAGTTTTTTGCAGACTGCTAACCAGCTTTCCCAGCAGTTTTTGTTGAAGAGGCTGCTTTTTCTTCATCGTATATTTTTAGCGCCTTTGTCAAAGATAAGTTGGTTATAGTTGTGTGGCTTCATATCTGGGTCCTCTATTCTGTTCCACTGGTCTTCATGTCTGTTTTTGTGCCAGTACCATGCTGTTTTTATGGTTATTGCTTTGTAATATAGTTTGAAGTCAGGTATCGTGATACCTCCAGCATTGTTCTTTTGACTGAGTATTGCCTTGGCTATTCCTGGCCTCTTGTGTTTCCATATAAATTTAATGGTAGATTTTTCAATCTCTTTGATGAATGTCATTGGGATTTTGATGGGAATTGCATTAAACATGTAGATTACTTTTGGGAGTATAGACATTTTTACTATGTTGATTCTACCAATCCATAAGCATGGGAGATCTCTCCACTTTCTATAGTCTTCCTCAATCTGTTTCTTCAGAAGTTTATAGTTTTCCTTGTAGAGGTCATTCACATCCTTTTTTAAGTTTGGACCTAGGTATTTGATTCTTTTTGAGGCTATTGTAAATGGAATTTTTTTCATGTATTCTTTCTCAGTTTGTTTCCATTGTCATCTAACTGATAATTTTAGTAGGTTGATAAGAGAGTAAAGTGACAAAGAAAAAAATGTAGCTGAGCTGACTACCCTCTTTACAATAAAAAAACACAGTTTGTTCTGGATTTCAGGCTAAGTTGATAACATTAAAACAATTGTGTATACAAAGGTCTTTTTAATGCTTTTATTGAGCAAAAATTCCAGGTGATTTGAAATCGAGTAGACATCCCATTCATTGAGGACAAGAGAGGTTCATTCCAAAACATTTTTAATAGTCCTAACTGAGTTTGTTCATCAGAGCAAGAGAGGGAATAGAGGAAAATCCACCCAAAAAGACCATTATATAATGGAAAGTACCTAGCTAGATTTTGTAGACATTGGGAAAACTCACACACACACACACACACACACACACACACACCCCATTAGTTAAAAATATTCAATTTTAAGATTAAATTTTACATGACACATTATCATGGCAAATGAGTTCTTGAATACAATAGTGATATCTCTCTATTTTTAGTAAGAGAACTGTATTTCACATTGATCAATGCTTGTTTATAAATTCAACTTTGTGAAATTGTAGGAAAAATGTTTCCAGTCTAGTCTCCTCTGCCCAAAGCAAATGTCACCTCCCCTGAAGGCCACTGCTCTAATACCTCTCCCCCTCCTCTGAGTGCTACTGGCACTTACCTTGTGTCCTTATCCTCCATCTTTGTCTCTCATATCTATCAATACACACTGTGAAGAAGGAGGAGCAGAAAAATACACAAGCATTATAGTTTAACTTTTTTAAGTACGGGTTTTAAGTCAGACAAACCTAGCTGTGTATTTCATGTGTTCAACATGTGACAATGGACAGTTGATTTAACCTCTCTACATCTTCACTTTCTCATCTAAATAATAGAGATAATGAAAGCTCCCTCACAGAGTACTGTGAAGATGGAACTGAGCAAGATGGTAAAGCACTTTGCATACAGAGTCATTCAATTAAATACACTTCCCCTTCCTGTGTTCTAACAAGTCAGTCACAGTTTAATCCTGCATTACATGGGCTGTATTCTGTTCTGTTTCTAGGTTGTACACTTTGAAAGGCAAAGTCTTGCTCATCTTTGAATTTCCTGTAGAAGAGTGAATTGCCTAGTCTGAAGGTGAAGCAACTATACTAAATTGAGGACTGAACCAGGATCAGACTCAAGCTTTGGAACAAAATCCATGAAAAAAAATTTGCCTCTCTGGACTCTTTTGGTAATATAGATCCTCTCATGAACAATAACTCAGGCCACACTGGTCTTGAGATCACCCCCTATTAGGTTGCACAAATAGAATTACTTTGACCTTTCTCACTGTAGAAACAGCCACAGGCGTATCAACCTTTTCTAGAGAGGGACCAAAGTGAATTCACTATGTTAGAAAAAACTTGTATTGAAAATAGCACTGAGTCAAATAAACATGAGTTATAAACTCCAGCTTAGCCCTGACTAGCCATAAGACTTTGAGCAAGATACCTATTCTCATTACACCTCAATTAAAACAAATACAAAGCTAACTCCACTTTTGTTGTCTCAGGGGAAGGTTGGGTTGATAAAGAAAGTGATGTATTGGAATACACCTTAATAATTACAAAACAGGATACACACACACAAAAAAAAAAGGATGGAAAACCATTGCTTTTGCTCATATTGAGCTCCTCTTTTAGGCTGTCTGGGTTTCTATCCTTACTCCCTCCTTTGGCAAATGACCATAGAAAAGCTGTGTGTGTGTGTGTGTGTGTGTGTGTGTGTGTGTGTGTGTGGTGTATGTGTGTGCACCCCTACACTCTACTGATGAAACCCACATACCCACTCTCTTTTCTTCAGCATGCTGAAATGTTACCATGCAACAAGAAAGTGCTGTCATGAATCTATAACACAATCCCATGCACTGCCCAGAAAGCAAAGGACCCTTCTGCCCGCAGGCAGCAGGGACTGCGCACATCATTTCTGACTCTAGAATAACACTACATAGCCCAGCTGCTTTTGGCTTTTTCTCATGTGTCAGTCACAGCTTCATTTGTAAATATGTCAAATACACAGCCCAACCAAAGCGTAACAGAAAATCATCCCCACGTGAAAGGGGAAGCTTCAAGAAGGAGCCCAAACCACAGTTCTGCATTTCAGATGGAGTCTTTGTCTCTCGGTCTTTTGACTAACATCACTCCAGGCTCCATAAGAAAACTGGGAGGAAGGGTAAGGTAGGCTGACCAGCTACAGATTGCATATAGAAGAACGAACTTTCCCAAATTTCTGTAAAAAATCTTCCTGTGCCTGGACCAACGCATCTTCATCAATGTACACAGCCGGCCTCTTGGCCATGAGAAAGTACTGTGCCTTCCTCAGGTTCCAGCCCAGCACGTAGAGGAGCCAGCCACACACAGCTGCAGTAGAGCGGCCCACACCAGCATTGCAGTGGACGTACACAATGTGTCCATTCTCCAGAAGCGCGTGCAGGAGACACACGGCCTGGGGCAGCATCTGCACTCGGCCTAGATTGAGAAAACACAACACACACGTGAATGATGAAATCTCCACACAGCCACTAATAACTCCTCCAAAGCACTGTGCAGGGACAGTCCAGAATGGGACAGTTTGCTTCATCCCTTTGTTTCGAAGGAAAGGTGAGACAAGTTTAAAACCTGATAATGAAGTGGAAAGAGCATTCCAGACGTAGAGTTCTGCTCTGAATCTTCACTGGATGTTACAGCTTCTTTGTGTGACTTCACCATCCATGCAAACTTCCCTCCACAGTTAACTATCACCTGTTATTCAGAAGAACGGATTTTCACATCTTTCAGCAGGGTTTACAGAATTTGGGTAGTTGTTTTCAAGGACTTCAAAGAAAGCTTGTTAAACACTGTCACCTGAATTTCATTTGTCCAAAAGGCTCTTCTAGCTAAATATAAAACATAGAATTAGTCCATTGTGTTAACGACTTGATCTTGTTCATTGATCAAATGAAATTTGAAACAGAATTTAATATGCTAATTTTCATTTGTGTGATGGAATGGCTAACTTAAAGAGTTGTTATGTGTGGGATAAACAATCCTCATTTATTCCTTCATGATACAGTGAATTCTAAAACAGATTTAATTTCTGTGTTATTAGACAATTATTTTATAGCTATTATCATTTTATGACTACTATTTTGATTATTAGATTATCCTGAGAGATGGTATGCTGTGTCCTGCAGAACCCTGGCAGGCTCTGCTTCTCCTTCTTGTCCTGTGGGGTACACCTACAATTATTCTTTGTGCTCTTGAATGCATGGAGTTTCTTCTGTTCACAGGTTCTCACTGCAGAGATATTTAATGAGGTGAATTTTTTGTTTGATTGCTTGAACTTTTGTTGTATGTGAGGTGATCACTGTAAATTATTTCAAAAGGAAACAAA